TTATACGTACATACGTGATAAACAAGAACTGAACGAGAGAATGTTGTCGACTTTTCATGAGATGTGATGAGACTTGCAAAGACAGAAGAAAAGTACGTCGCGTATATAATTCTCGTTTATTAAAAATTTTGAGAAATTGACAATAATAAAACTAGCAATATTATTTTTGTTTCTTATGATAAGATTTAAAGATTTTCACGGAACGTTTAATAAATCTATTCCTATTAAGAGAACGTATCTTGACGGAAACGATATATATTTTTAACGTATCCATTTCTTTTATATCCGCTTCCTACGATATCATATCTTGATAATCTCAAAAACGGGTGCTTGATGGATACATGTAATTTCTTTTTTTCTCTCATAAGAATATTGATGATACTAACGATACTTTTATTTTCATTTTAAAGTACTTGTCGATATCTCTGTAAATCGTTGTGATGTACTTTTTTGATGTTTTACTTGCTGGTCTGTTCAAATTTACTATACAATTATATTGTTTATTGGGTCAATATAGTTAAAAAATTCTACAAAATAAAAAAAATTTAATAGAAAAAATATCTTAATATATTAAGATTTTAATAGACAATTAAGAAACAATATCAACAAATGCCAGAGAAAAATATTTTTTAATAATAAGAGTTGTAACAAGGAGCATATAAGCCTAGTCTGGATGTCTGCTTAATTTTCCTTTATTTTAAAAATAGTATATTTATAACGTTTTCGACTATTTATCTGGTCATCTTCAACATAAAATTACTTGCCATTAACAATTTGACATTCGCTGTAATCAGTTACAGATAAATGATTGAAAACGTTATAAATATATTATTTTTGAAATAAACGAAAATTAGGTAAAGACATCCAATATTAAGCTTATATGCTCCTTGTTACGACTCTTATTGTTTATAATGAAAAACTCTTTGTTGATTATATTATATTTTTTAATAAATTATTTTTAATAAAATATTAGTAAGAATAGACTAGCAGGATTAATAAGAATATTTAGTTTTATATAAAAATAGTTTTTTTTTTCAATATTATTTGACATATTCTCAAATTATGCCATATTTTTGTATGTCATCTCTATAGCGACTCTACTGTTGCATACAGTGTATTGTCTGTTGGATGCATCTGCGCTTGATGTACTGACGAGTCTATCGTGCTTGATGCGCAATGCATTCGGACGAACAGACATTGTAGTACGTTTCCCAATGCTGCAAGAAAGCGCAATTTTTCGATACCAGAAAGAAAGTGCAATTTTGCGATGCTGAAGAGAAAGCTGAATTTTTCGATATTGAAGGGAAAGTCCATTCAACGCTCCGAATGCGCTGCCTCTGTGATATTAAATATACAATATTCTCAAATATATGTGATGGATATTGTAATATACATATTTATTTATTATGTTTATTTGTTTTGTATAAAGTAACATAACGTTGAATTCGAAATTAATTGAAATTATAAAATTTAATGAACTTTAATATAAATTCTCTAATTTATTCACATATATCACATATATCATATATAAAGGATTGAAATATTTGATATTCGGATTACATGTAGGCGTCTAATAGCGATTTCTAATTTGTATTTGGTTAATAAACGATCCAAGTGCGAACGAGCAATCGCGCGCGCGTGTTTCCGCATAAGGTGATTTCGCTAATTTCGGATTTCCATCGCTGCGAGATCGCGCAAACACGGGCTCGCTTAGTTCGTTTTGTGTAAAACGATAGTATACATACCGTCTTATGAATTACGCTACGGAGATGGAGATGAATTATGAATCGGATATCCGAGAGGAGAACCGGAATTTAGATTGCAAACTTGAATTGTGCAACTGTGGTGTTCTTTGGTGAAGTAAATTATTTAAATTTCAAAAGCTGCATATATGTATAACAAAATTCATCGTTCGTCCGACATATTTTGCATACAAAATAATTTAGATAGATTTGGCAACCTTCATACAAATGATTTTAATCATTATTATTAAATTGTCGATGTAATAATCTCAAATTATGCAGTAGTTTAAAATTAGGAAAGAGAATAACTACTTCGAAAAATATTATTACATATATTAAAATATTGAAAAATTCATTTATCATGAGTATTATAATTACACGAATCGAATGAATATAATTATACGATTAAAAATTAAAATTATGAAGAAGCTGTTCAACGTTTTTAAAAAACAAATAAAATTAAAGGAGCTATGGTCCACAAAGCTGAAATATTATGCAATTATTGCATGATTGATATGTGTATTAATACGAATACCAGGGCCGCAGTTAAGATTTCCTTTCTTTTGCTGAATATCTAAGCCAATAGCGCAATTGATACTTGCATGATTATTTGTCCGTTGGATGCATTTGCGTTTGATGTACGAGTCTATCGTCTATCTAACTTTTACAAAGAGAGAGAGAGAGCAAAACCGATGTTTCGACTGAGTTTCTAGAGATGTTTCTAATATGTGAAAAAATGATTCTTATTATTATTCGTATTATTATTTCAAAGATGAAAAACTAGTTCAATTTCACAATTTTGTTTTGAAGCGTGTAATATTTGTAGAGAACCTTTCTTCTTCATATGCTGCATACTGCTTTGACTATTTCTATAAGTTCGGTCATTTATTAAACGATGTCTTACTGGGTTGAAAAGCTAGTTCTCATAAGCAACGAGAAGGTAACGTATCTGGTACAAATAAATTTACAGAGAGGCAGATGTCAGGCATGAAAGCCGTAGAAATTTCGGGATAGCGAACTGCCATCTCTTTTTGCTAACCTACCCTTTCGACGATGTTTACCCGCTCCGAATTACCGTCCAGGAATACATTGAAACGCAGACCTTATCCGCCTCGAATTCCATGTGCATACCTGATTTTCTGTAGAGTAGCACGATATATTGTCTACTTGAACGATTCCCGTACGAATAATAGCCCGCTACTGTATAAGAATATAAAGCAAACCGATTTTTCTTGCGAGAAAAGTTTTCGCTATTGAAATGTATACGGTTTTGCGATCTACTTGGAAACTATTTCGAAAGAGTTAGTTTACAAGAATTATAAATGAACCGGCCGATACGGATCGTAATTCGAGTCAAACGAGAGAAAAATAAATTTGCTATTTTCTGGAATCGTTGAGAAGAGATATTTTTCTGCTTTTCATTTGGGATTCGGTCGGGTCTTTCAGATCAGAAGAAAATTAGATAAGAAAAGAATTAGAAATTCTGAGTCTCATATTTCTTACGTCCCGTCTGGAACCTTGTTATATCTCCCAGCAGAAAGAACCGAAAATCGAATTTCACCGGCACGCGGAATTTTATTTGCGATCTTAAAGCGGATGGCTCCGGTGCCAAGTTACAGATCGGGGTAAACAACGATTTGGCTCGCTCCGGTTGCATAGGCAGGAGAAATAATAGCGATGAAAAGACCTCTCTCTTTCATATGCTTTCCCGTTTCAGCGTCTAGTAAACGAGGGGAATTTTTTCGCCGCTGTTATTCCGCGCTTATGTAACGAGATCGAGCCATTTCGCGTTGGAAAAAATGTCGTGCGTCCTTTTCGATCACGATGTTTCCTATCCGAGCGAGTTTGAAAACGATCGACGTAAGTCATCTTCCGCGTGATGCCGGAAATGAACCTTTTGGCAGAAAGCCCAGATAATCAATAATACCCTTTTTAAACGGCACGCGATAAAACATGTTCGTTAGCACTTTTCGAACAGGAAGTAGGAGGAACAACAGAAAAATAATCGCTAATTTCGATTAGTTTCCATGAACGAGAAAGAAGAAATAGCACTTTGCTAATTCGCTGATAATGGCATGTCTGAGTTTGAAGTAGTTCAAATAAAACGAAATAGTCTTCCTGAAAATGAAATGAAATAGTCTTCTTCAGCCAAATAAACTGTTCCTTTGATGCTTTTCTATAGTAAGCTACATTTATTTATTTGTCATTGCTCATATTAGCTTTCTTTGTCCATTTCATTGTTGTTTTGTAAAAATGCGCTGTAAAATTATATTTATTAAATAAAACAGCTTGTTATGCGAGTATCCTTTCAGAAAGGATTTTTGATAACGAGAAAAAATATAATTAATATTTAATTTTATGATGGACAAAACTTATTGTAACTTTATACAAAAACTTTATATAAAACTTTATATAAAAACAATATTAATATTAGATCATTAATTTCTGTTCTTAAATAAGATGGTTTAAGACAGGAATAACACATAAATTTAAATTTATTTATTCTTAGGTTTTGAATAAATCTTTATCCAATGTTATGATGCTAGCATACGATATTTGACACGAAACCGATGTCATTTTTTTTAGATTTATGAATTTTCCATTTAAAAAATATTTCCTTTGTTAACAACAAATATAATTGTTTTTATATTAATTTTATTTTAGATAGATATGATAGATCGAAGAATGTGATAGTATTGGATTCGGAAATGAATGCATTTTTTTATTCATTTATAAACAGAATATTCGTAATTGTGATATTCTATTTCCATATTTAAAGATCATATTTTAAGATATTTAAGTAAATCAACGTCTCATTTACTTATTAAAATTACAATCAATCAATTGATTGTCGGTTGATACGGCGATCATAGTTCATTTGAGTTTCATCGTAGCAATTAATCGTAAATGTTGGCAAACTGTCGCGCAGTGTTCCCTCGTCAAGTTACAGTCAAACAAATTGAAATATAATACACATATGTCAATAAATCGCGTAAATAAAAAGATAGGTTTTTCTACGGAATGTAGCAGGATATAAAACGTAACGAGAACGTACCGGTATAGTGGCATTTTGTCTGTCATAAAATTAAATATCGACTCTCTTTTCCGAGGAATTTAATTTCACCTCTATCTGACTGTTTAATTACTCATCCTCTATGCTATGAATGCAAATTAAGCCAGGCGCACAGCCTCCGCGATGATCAGGTATGCATCTTTTCGGGAATACCGCCGGGGAATATGGGAGGTCTGTGTTCTCACGGAATAGCCCAGGTGCAGCGCTATTATCCAATATGACCTAATTATGATAGTGGTCCACCAACATAGCGCCATGCGTTCGCTATAAACGGATCCGCGTAAACCGGTCCTGCGTACACCAGCACCGCACGCCGGTATAATACCCTTCTCGTAATAACGACCAATTCGCGTTTCCCGTCCACTATCCTCATACCGCGTATTACGTTCCTCATCGGTCGAAAACATAGACGCATATGCCGAATCCTATCGATCCGAATCCAAATTGATTGACGTATCGACACCTGTCGCCGCTCCACCACTGACTTTCGCAAAACTTCGCATCGCAATCGGTTACGATTCCTCTCCTCGCGAATCGTGATAAACATGCGCGGTCGACGATTGACAACAAGATGAAAGAAAGCTCGCAGCGTGAACTTTCGATCGCAATCAGCGACGACTGGTATTTCTGACATTTGATGCTAGATTAAATTGCGTCTCACGGTATAACGGACATTACGATTATAATAAATAATTTATTTAGATTTTAAAGCTTTCTCGTATCATTTATTTTATTATGTTTTTTTATATTTTTTATTTATTAATGTAGAAAAAATTATAATTAAATTTTTAATGTAGAAAATATTTATAAAAAAAGATTTAAAGCATGTAACGTTTAATATTATATGAAAAGTGTCAAGTAGATAATCATACGTTAATACTCATTTTAAGTTGTAATTGTTACAATAGATAATCAATGTCACTAGTGATTGTTATGCATATTTAATGTTCGTTAATAATTGGAGTACATTACATCCGTTTATTCGACAATGAATGAAATATCGTTTGAAAGCTATTGTTTATCGAAGATAATCCATCTTTATAATGTTCAGAATCTTCTTGCAGAGACCAAAGGTGAATAAAGACAGACTAAATTCTGACAATTTTCAAAAGTGATTGACGTATCGACATCTGTTATTCGGTTGATATTATCATTGTATCGTGCAACTTTGATACTTTATCGATTTTTCTGCTATGTACTTTTCTGCTATGTAGATATATTTGTTATATATGTTGATGTACAAACCGATATTTAGATCCATTTTTATTATAATTAAATTAATGGAACTAATTGAAATTTAATCAGGTTATATTTATCGTGGATTATATGAAAATTTTGGTTAGTAGATTAATTTTTCGAAAAGAGAATTATAAGGATTTTATTTAACTGCTGTTTTGAAATATATAATAGATAATATGTAATAAATAGTAAATAATAAATATATAATATATGATATATAATAGAAGTGTTAAAGGCAGTAATGTAGCATATTTACAATTTCATCAAATATAATACAGTCTTGTAGTAACATAATTTGAACAATAACGTACGGGATGTAGCTGTAGGCGGTCGTACAAATTCAGTGAGAGACAGGTAACAAGAGAGACAAGTGACGGGTCGGCTGTCATTCTCATTCCTGTGATCCAATATATGATTGATGGATTGACATCTTTAATCGTATAGTTTACTCTGATTGGTTCAGTTTTTAATTACTTATTTCAAGAGTAACGATTTTGAGAATTTAATTCAATTTTCCTCACATTTGTTCTTAACTAATTCAATAAATTAATACAGAAAAAAATATAGTTTTGACAACTATTAAATTAATAACTCTAATAATTTAAGTACTTGCAACTAATTTTACAAAATAATAAGAATTATATTTTTATAGTATTCGGTACTACACACACACACACACACACACACACACACACACACACACACACAAACACACACACACACAAACAC